TTTTTTTTTTTTTTTTTTTTTTTTTTTTTCCTTTTTCCCAAAAGTGTGGCTCCTCAGAGGTGTTTTAAATAGGATGGTAAAAGCCTGAGACAGTATGGATGAGGAGTTGCTTTTGAGAGCTCTTGACGTTATGTTTAATGTTTTAATCAGAGGAATTAACCCATTTGAGTTTCTAGAAGGAATCTGATAAATTTTACAAGCTTAGAAGTTTTCACTTGAACTTCCAACTGTTGCATGAAGAGATTTGGGTTGATTTTTATGAGCATAATGAGTAACAGAACCAGTGGAATTACGTACGTGCAGGATCAGACCAGGGCTAGATCCAGTCTAGTGTGGGTTTACCCATTTTCTGACTGTTTGTGGCTTCTTCCTATTTTCGCTTCTGTTCCTTTTTACCAAGGAGCTCCAGCTTCCTGTTTGCGTTCGGTTTTGCTCTTTTTAATCAGATTATATGCAATGACTCTAGTTATACAATGACTTTCAAATGTTCATTTACATTGCCGGTTTGCTGACAACAAGAGACAAAAATGTTTTTATCGGGGGGGGGGAAAAAAAGCAAGTTCTTTATGCCCTTGAAACTGGTGAATTGTAGCCGGTGGCAGTGCGGATACTTTGAATGAAGAGATTAATGTGTTTACATTTTATGGCACTTATTTGTGAAGGGAAAGGAGCGCTGCCACACCATGTAGGGTAGTGCCATGTCCCTCGCCTGATGTTTGCAGCGTCCTGGGGAGGTGTCCCCTGTGCAGCCACCCAGGTGGGTGACACTTGGGGTCCGGCATCTGCAGCACCCCCAGGCCCTCTGTGCCAGCCCTTCTCCCTGCAGCTAGGGCTGGGAGATGTGTAGGACCCAGCGTAGAGCGTATGGGGAGCTGGGGTTCAAAGCCCACCTGCCAGCACAAGCCAAGGCTTCTCCTGCTTCAGCGGTGGGGAATGGGATGGGGAGCGCCATCCTGAGAAAGCAAAAGATGCCAAAAGAGTTGAGTATGATCTTCTACAGCTCAGCGTTGCTTCCTGTGTAACAGGCTGTTAACTAATGTTCTTGTTGCAGTTTCCTCTTGACACAGTAGCAGATGCCCAGTATGTGCTAGTTAGGCGGCCTCAATTTTCCATTGAACAGATTTTCCAGATTTTTCAGGCTTAGGAAAGCCTCACGGAGGGCCGACAGCTCTGGCTGTGGGGAGAGGTCATGCTGTGCGGAGCACGTGGCCAGGGATTGATGGCGGGGCGGTTTCTGCACCCTACTTCTCAAACAAGCAGTGGGTCTGGAAGCCCACCCTTCCTCCAGCCCCACAGCTCTGGTTGCTGTGGCTGAGCAGTGCCCCAGGTCTGCTGTGCCCTTGAGAGGTGCCTTCCCCAGCGCCACAGCCTGTGTGTGCATGGACAGCCTTCGTTTCCCCAGGGAGATAACCGCCCTGCTGCCTGAACTCCCCAACAACGGGGCTGTCCTTGAGCTGGAGCCGGGCGTGCAGAGCCCTGTTTGCAGAGGTATCGAGGGGCTCGTGGTCATAACTTCCCTTACTGGTGACTAGAGAGGTGTTACCTTTCTCCGACTTGTTAAGAAGAGGCTTTTCTCACGCATCCTGTGGACAGGATGAACCTCAAGTGGGCCCAGGTGAACCTCATGAGGTTCAACAAGAGCAAATGCAAGGTTCTGCACCTGGACTGGAACAATCCTCGCCACCAATGCAAACTAGGGGGTGAGGGATTGGAAAGCAGCCCTGAGGAAAGGGACTTGGGGGTGCTGGTGGACGAGAAGCTGGACATGAGCAGGCAGTGGGCAGCTGCAGCCCAGAAGGCCAATCCCATCCTGGGCTGCATCAAAAGAAGCGTTGCCAGCAGGTCCAGAGAGGGGATTCTGCCACTTTGCTCTGGTGAGACCTCACCTGGAGTATTGTGTGCAGGTCTGGAGCACTCAATATAAGAAGGACATGGACCTGATGGAGAGGGTCCAGAGGAGGGCCACAAGGATGATCAGGGGGATGGAGCACCTCTGCTACGAGGACAGGCTGAGGGAGCTGGGGTTGTTCAGCCTGGAGAAGAGGAGGCTCCGGGGAGACCTAATAGCCCCTTCCAGTACCTGAAGGGAGCCTACAGGAAGGCTGGGGAGAACCTGTTTACAAAGGCCTGCAGTGACAGGACGAGGGGCAATGGCTTCAAGCTGGAGGGGAACAGATTTAGACTGGAGATGAGGAGAGGGTTCTTCACTGTGAGGGTGGTGGAGCACTGGAACAGGTTGCCCAGGGAGGTGGTTGAGGCCCCATCCCTGGAGATATTCAAGGAGAGGCTCGACGAGGCCCTGGGCAACCTGGTCTAGTTGGGGGGGTCCCTGCTGACTGCGGGGAGGTCGGACTAGATGACCTTTGGAGGGCCCTTCTGGCCTGGGCAATTCTATGATTCTATGATCTTTGTGTGCGCAGCCGCTGTTTCCCTCCGACAGCTGTTGGACACTGACCCTCTCTCCTGCCCAGGGCTTGATGGCTACTTAGTGCTCTTCTCATCTTTTCACGCCCGGCATTAGGAGAACATCTGTGTTGCTTTATTGGAGACCGGATATAGAATGCTTGCAGCTAATAAGTTTTCCAGTTGCCTTGCAGCCACCCAGGGCTTTGTTCAGAGGTTGCTTATCTGCATCCATTGTGTAGTGCTGTTCCTTGGGTTTTTTCTCACAGCCCTCTTTAAGCCTGAACAATGCCTTCCTACAGGAACCTCTGATAACCCGGCGTACAATGGTTTCACCTCGCTGGTCAGGTCATGCACAGTGTCTATATGCTTACTGCAGCTCCTTTCTTGGGTTGTTTTTTTTTTTTTTTCATTTCTCAATCTCATCTAGCGCTCCGGCCTGTATTGCAGTGGTGAGAGCAGTAATGCTTCCCCACGCTGCCTCCCTCCGTGCGGGCTGTTTGACAGGTGGATGTGTGCTACCTGTAAGCTTGTGAAGAACACACAGAACTTTGGAAGGTAACGGGAGGATGGGGCTTCCCTGATGCTGGGGTGGGGTTCACCAGGGCACACGCTCTGCAGGAGCATCCTTGTGGTTTGGGGGTGATTGGGTTCTGAAGTACCCAGTCTGGGTTAGGTTGCAAGTGCAGGGCTGGATCTTGCTGGGGTTCTTCGAAGGAGGGTTGCACATTGGTAGGCAGCAGAAGGAACCTTTCTCAAGCAGATTGATATGAAACTTAAAAATAGTTCCTTGTGAGAAGCTGTTCACAGATTTGAATTGGATGCCAAAAGAGCTCTCGCTCCCTCCTCGCGCCTCCCCCCTCATTATTCTGGAAGAAGAGCGTTGTCTGAATTAGACTGTGTGAATGGAAGGGCAAGCTGCTCTGCTGGGTGGAGGGCAGTCTGGAGGTGTGAGAGCTGGCCCCACCGCTGGGCCACCCCCCTTCCAGAAGTGACCTCAAGGGCTTGCTGGTCAGCTCTATGGTAGCTCCTGGGCAGGTCCCACAGTACTTCGGAGACGTTTTGAGCAAGGGAGAGGAGTGGACTGCCATTACAGTAGAGCCAGATGGCCTCGGGCTTTGTTCTTTGCCCCTTCTCTGGGCTTGGTGTGCCCTGTCCCGTGCTTAGTGGGTGCTCTTGGCAAGGGTCAGGGCACAGTTTGCTGGCTGGTGGCAGCTCCTACAAAGGCTTGTCCTGGCGCTGGGGTGGGCCGTCTGCAGGCCTTCATCCAGTCATTAACCTTCCTATTCAGGCTGGATCAGGCAGGCATGCTATGAGCCTTTCTACTTTTAATTCCCTGGCCAGCAAATCATTAGTTGTGTTCTTCAGTTTCTAAAGATGTCAGGAAGGGGGGAAAAACCCGCTTGCTTTGGTCACTGGAAACACTGATTAAGCAGTAAGCTGGGAGATGGGTGTTAGGAGATAGTGACGTATTATATAAA